GCGCCGGCCGCCCCCTGACAGGCCGCCATGCCCCCCGCGTCCCCCTGCCAGCTCCCTCCTCGGCAAGAAAGTTTGACTACCAGGGGACACAGGAAACAGTAAAAGCTTACTAAATCCTACAGAAACGCTGAAGGAAATGAAAAACCACGATCACGTGCTTTTGTAACACATACTTTTAACACGGCAGAGCATGCCAGGTTGCAGGAGCGAACGCCGGTACCGGAACCACCGGAGCTAATTCAGACACCGAAAGCCTTTCAAATGCTACGAGGAGCCCGTTCCCAGCAGATTTCACCGTAGCCGATATTCACAGGCTCCTTTCATCTCTGCGACCTGGAGAGAACTGCCATGAGCTGCGCTTCAAAACGTATTTCACGGGTGCCTTTAGAGCAACGGACTATAAATAATGGCAGCTAAAGCACTGACTACACGCCGTCACTGAAACCAACCGCCCTTCTCTCCTCTCTCCCTTTGCCCGCTGAACACCGCGCCACCCTTCGCACCGCCGCCTCTCCAGCCACCCGCACTCATGCCTGAACTGGCATGTTGCTCCAAGGGCTGGACTCGCCTGCAACCTCCCTCTCCCGCCCCCGGCAGCTTCCAGGTCTGGAGAACAGAGTGGCTTCCTCCGAAAGCACTGACTATGCAGCCGAGCCGTCCTATGTGCTTGGTGCAGCTTTGAGATTCTTTTTTTTTTTTTTTTGTCATTTTAAGCTGGCAAAAATGATACCTGTCAGAAATACAAAGAAATCTCAAGTAGTTTGGAAAAAAAGCAGCAGGAAAATTTATGAAGATCCTGCTCTTTCTATATTTTTTTTTTAATTGCAAGAAGATCATATTGCAAATTCCAATACGTGTACAGATTACCAAAGGAGGAACTTTAGCACTGAAAAATTAATTTCCTCCTATCCGGTAGAAAAGGAGACACATACCACAGTGGGTGTTTACTGAATGAAGGAGAAGACTCAGTAACTGAGATAGGGCTCTTTGTTATTTTACAATACAATTCCTAATATTTCTGCTGGCTTTTAAGCTATAATCATGATCTTGGCACCATTACATTCCAAACATGTACCTTCTGCTCTTTCCCCTCCCCATACCCCTGAAAACCAGTCAGATCAAAGCCACAGGCAAGAACATTCAGAACGGACCTTTTGGTACTTCACTTAATGAATATAGCGCTTATCTAAAGGTCTGTCAAGTTTCACCCAAAATCCAAACTGTCACAGACATGGATTTGAAAACACTACCATTTCCAAACACTTGACAAGGTCTAAGATGCTCTGACAATTAGTCATCACCAGTCTGACATTACTTTTTTTTAAAAAAAAAAAAACAACAACATTGGCATTAGGCTATATCTACATTAGCAATTTTGCACAACTGGAACAGATCAAAACACAGCTGCTGCTGAGGTCTTTACACCTGTCCTACATGAAGCCCAGGAGGTTTTTCCTGAACCAGCCCCTACTCCAGGAGGTTCAAAACTGCCAAAAATTACCAAAAACTGGTCGAACTTCTACGACCCTATCTTAGTGCACACAAGGAGTGGAATGGCTTAGTTTCTTTTGAAAGGAGCCTAGTTAACACATGCTGAAGCGACTATGGCAAACAAACAAGTGGACATGATGAACAGGGACAATGAGGCAATTTGCTTCAAGACTGAACTCTCCTCCAAACAGAACTCTAACACAAATATAGCCTTTGAAAGGTCAAGCATTTCTCTCCATCACCACTATTTTCAATCCCTGATTAGTCTTCTCGGTTTTCCTGTCCCAAAACACAGGAAGATGTTCTTGGAGTATGTGGATGGTCTTCTCCTGGGTGCATGAAGCAAGCCTTTCTTCCATCTATATTGGAAACACAACACTATCTTAGAAAACATAGTGATACAAAGTAATCACTCTTCCTTCTTTTGCCTCCCAATAGTAAGTCATTTAATTAACTCTTCTTTCTGAAAGTTTTTTCTTAAAACTACTGTTTCATACATAAGTTTAGTACCAGAACAGAGAAATCACAATTATTTACCTATCTGTTAGGCATCACTACAGCATTATTTGTTTTAGCTTTGTTTTATGGCTTGGAAACTGAAGACTGTTTAAGAAACAGGATTCTGAATTTGGGGACAAAGGAAGACCAAGTGGTGCACTGGTTTGTATGAGAACTCAACAAAGAAGCTAAAGTGCCTCTTTTGGGGAAAGTACTACTTTGAATAACTCCATTAACAGTTCTGAGGTGAAGGCAAAATAAATTATGTTTTACAAGTATATGAAAGAAATTATTCAAGGTCATTATCAAGTATGGTAAACCCTCAGGTACAAGACTTCTTAAAAATAAGATGGTACTAAATTCCCTCTGCTTTTTAGCAGATTATTTTTCAGATTTTCGAAACTTCATTTTCTCAATGCATGCAGAGATACTATGTTTGATAAGGCAAGATTTCCAGTACTTAACACTCAAATATAGCATACAAATCATTATCTAGTTCCTCCTTCCTTACCGTCAGCTCAAACATACCAGTGCAATTACTGTCCCTTACTGTTTTGAAACATAGATATCCCAATGACTTCAATGTAAACGTAATGATATACGGCATTGTAGATGCAGCTAAGTAGTCAAAGGCATGTTTTGCTACAATTTTTGCATTTCCTGAGTAAACCTTTCTGTGTAATTCCTTGTAAGACAAGAAGTCATTATCAATACAGCAGAAAGCACCTAGGGTCTTGCAACAGCTATTACAAAGATTCCACTAAGGAATTTGCTAAAGATACCAGTTTCCTTTGATTGTGAAACTGGCATCACACAGAACCAGCTCCTACAGATTCAAAGTAGGTTCCCATTAATTTGCCATGGTGATTTGCAAGGATCCAATTATTTCCATATATGCTCCTAGAGATCTGCAAAGCTCCACATGGAAACCCATTATTTTCTATCAGCGTACTCTGTTATTTCAAGTACCAAGTACAGGATCCCAGTTTTACTTGTCTATTTCTAAATACCCATCTGTTCTATCCTTTTCTCTTTTTTTTTTTTAAAATAAATTTCAGCAGTCCTGAAGAATGACTTGGTGTTGCCTTACATCTTTAAAAACAGAAAGAAAGAAGATCCAGGGAACTACAGGCCAGTCAGTCTCACCTCTGTGCCCGGCAAGATCATGGCGCAGATCCTCCTGGCGACTATGCTAAGGCACATAGAAAATAAAGAGGTGATTGGTGACAGCCAACATGGCTTCACAAAGGGCAAATCCTGCCTGACTAATTTGGTGGCCTTCTATGATGAGGTTACAGCATTGATGGATAGGGGAAAGAGCAACTCTCGTCTACCTGGACTTATCCAAAGCATTTGATACAGTCCCACACAACATCCTTGTCTCTAAACTGGAAAGACATGGATTTGATGGATGGACCACTCAGTGGATAAGGAATTGGCTGGATGGCCGCACTCAAAGAGTTGTAGTCAACGGTTCAATGTCCAAGTGGAGGCCAGTGACGAGTGGTGTTCCTCAAGGGTCAGTACTGGGACCAGTGCTATTTAACATCTTTGTTGATGACATGGACAGTGGGATCGAGTGCACCCTCAGCAAGTTTGCAGATGACACCAAGTTATGCGGTGTTGTGGACACGCTGGAGGGAAGGGATGCCATCCAGAGGGACCTTGACAGGCTGCAGAGGTGGGCCTGTGAGAACTTAATGAAGTTCAACAAGGCCAAGTGCAAGGTCCTGCACATGGGTCGGGGCAATCCCAAGCACAAGTACAGGCTGGGCAGAGAATGGAGGAGGAAAGGGACTTGGGAGTGCTGGTGGATGAGAAGCTCAACATGAGCCAACAATGTGCACTGGCAGCCCAGAAAGCAAATCGTATCCTGGGCTGTATCAAAAGAAGCGTGGCCAGCAGGTCGAGGGAAGTGATTCTGCCCCTCTACTCAGCTCTCATGAGACCCCACCTGGAATACTGTGTTCAGCTCTGGAGTCCCCAGCACAAGAAGGACATGGAGCTGCTGGAGTGAATCCAGAGGAGGGCCACGAAGATGATCCAAGGGCTGGAGCACCTCTGCTATGAAGACAGGCTGAGAGAGTTGGGGCTGTTCAGCCTGGAAAAGAGAAGGCTTCGGGGTGATCTTATTGCAGCTTTCTGGTACTTACAGGAAAGCTGGAGAGGGACTTTTTACAAGGGCAGGTAGTGATAGGACAAGGGGCAATGGCTTTAAATTGAAAGAGGGCAGATTTAGATTGGATATAAGGAAGAAATTTTACACTCAGATGGTGGTGAGGTGCTGGAACAGGTTGCCCAGAGAAGTTGTAGATGCCCCATCCCTGCAAGTGTTCAAGGCCAGGATGGATGAGGCTTTAGGCAACCTGGTGTAGTGGGGGGTTTCCCTGCCCGTGGCAGGGGTGCTGGAACTAGATGATCTTTGAGGTCCCTTCCAACCCTAATCATTCTATGATTCCATGATACATACCTCAGTAACTACTATATCTACGGAATTTAGATGCTCTCCCACAAAAAAACATTTTTATAATCTTGTACAGGAAATACAGGAAATCCAGAGTTGAAGTAACAGCACCATATTTCACAGGCATTATTTGGTCTCATACAATGCTCCTGTTTAAATACAGCAAAGCTTCACAGATCTCCATCACCCCATGAGTTTTTAACTAGAAGTTTGAGGCCTGTTGCTAATCAGTCCTGCTTTCCAGAATGACCTGATTTCACATGCATGCACTTGTACACCTGGCCCAGAAATAAGATCTCCATGGAGTCTCCTTTGCCCTTCAAACACCTGCTTCCAGAACAGTGGCCTGTGGCACACTGATTTCTAGGATACATTCCTGACTGGCACCTGGTCCTGTTACGGACCAGT